GCCCCTCCCTTCCAGCTGCAGATGACAGGCCATTTCCTTCTTTTTAATATGCTTTTCTAGATCTTATATTGAGGAGAAAATGCATTTTAAAAAACATCTCTTACAAAGAAGAGATGCAGAGGCCCTGGGACACAGCCTCCCACCAAGTGACGCGGGGCCCTCGCAGCTGGGGTCCCATGAGGCCAGGAAGTGGGGCAGAGCCTGGTGGGCACCTTGGAATGTGGCCCGTGAGGCAGCCTGGGGGGTCCCACAGACACTATCACTGGGGCTGAGGTTCTGCCACCTCCACTCTCCAAACCAGGCAGCTCTGCCTGTCGGCGGGGGGGCGGTCCTCGTTTCCAAAGCATACCGTGCCCACTCACGGCTCAATTCCAGGCATGGCTGGAGGTGGCCAAGAGTGGCCAGGGCCCCACCTGTGCTCAGGACTCCTCAGCAGAGGTGCCATAGGGCCGCTACAGCGTCGACCACACTCTCGGCATCTGCGGCCGCATCTGAGCAGCGGGTGTCCCCCATGTGCCTGGAGCCACCTCCAAGCAGGGCAAGCACCCAGCTCCACTCAGATCCCCACTGCCGCACCAGTGTGGGCACAACCCCGGGGCTCCGCACTCTAAAACACAGGCCAGAAATTAAGACAATAAAGGAAAACCCGGAGTTTGAAACAGTCTAAGACATCTGTGAAAAAATCTCCTTGTGATTTTCAACTGGACTTAGGACATTTCAAAGCTGTTCCATGGACAGCAGCTCCTCCTCTTCCTCTCTCCCCCACTTCACAGCTGCTGCCTCCAGGGCTACAGGAGTCCGTTCCTGCCTTTTTTGTTTTTCTTTTTAAATTATGAAACCTAAGTATGTTTCATAATTTATGATAACACTAGCAACCAAATTTATTCATTAAAATCAGGAATTCTAATACTAGGTTGTTTTCACAGGAAACACTAATAGAAACATCTCCTTGATGTTTTATATTGTATAAAAATTTGAGGCCAGGTGCAATGGCTCACACTGTAATCCCAGCATCTTGGGAGCCTGAGGTGGGCAGATTACTTGAGCTCAGGAGCCCAAGACGAGCCCGGGTATGGTAGCACTCCATCCCTACAGAAAATACAAACATTAGCTGGGTGTGGTGGCTCATGCCTGTTAATCCAAGCTACTTGGGAGGCTGAGGTGGGAGGATCATTTGATCCCAGGAGGCAGAGGTCGCAGTGAGCCATGACTGTACCACTGGGTGACAGAGTGAGACTCTGTCTCACAAAAAAAAAGAAATGCAAAGAAGAAATAAAAAACCAATTAAAAAAATAAATTATCTCCAATTTCCATGTTTAAGAAAGTAAAATAACTTTTTTTTTAAATGAAAAAAAGAGGTTTAACTGACTTAGTTCTGACAGAGAGGGGTCTTACTACGTTGCCCAGGCTGGTCTTGAACTCCTGGGCTCCAGTGATCCTCCTGTCTCAGCCTCCCAAAGTGTTGGGATTCTAGGCATGAGCCACTATGCCCAGCCAAATAAAGTAAAACAAGTTTTATTCTGAATGCAGTAAGTCCTCACTTAACGTCACGGATGGGTTTTGGAAACCGAGACTTTGAAACGCATGTAAACAAAGGCAACCTCAGGGCCTGCTGAGACCACGGGAGCTGCGGCCAGCAGCACAGGAGTGTCCTTCCTACAAGGTCACTTTCCAGGAACCCAGGGGCAACGCTAAGTGAGGACTCACTGTGCAGTTTCAGAACAGGTTTCACTGAGGTGAAAACGGTTTTGTTTGGAAATGTGTTTACCACTGAAGTAGAACCCGCAGGGGCCTCGTTCTCTCACTCACTTGTTTGGCCAAGTTTTTGTCAATGGTTTTGCCATAAATGATCTGCTAAGCTGGGAGAGAAAAGAAAACCTACGAAAAGTTTCACAAAACTCTGCCTTCAAAGTGGACTCCAAGGAGTCTGAGTGGCTTCTCTCCCATCCTCTGAGGAGACCCCGGCTCTGTCCCAGAGCATCGGGGCTTCCAGAGCCTCGGCTTCTCTACAGGACGCAGGCGGGAGGGAGGCACAGACCAGCTCTGTGGAGCGACACCACCCGCCCACGGGCTCACAGGAACCTCCCTGCCCGGATGGGAGCGGGTCACCTAAGGGGCCAGCACAGAGCTGGGCGGGCGGCTTCCGGGGCCACCGTGGGGCTGGGGCTGAGACATTAAAAGGCAGGTGCTCAGAGGCACCCAGGAAAGGCTGCCCCTCCCAGGCTCTCCCCGGCAAGGCAGGACGTAGGGCTTGGGGGTGCCCCGAGGCTGCACCTGGGGAGCTGTGAGGGCACCTGTGGAGCCGCCCCCACCAGCCATACCTTCACGTGCTGCGGATGCACCCCCTTCTCCTTCATGGCTTCCGGCAGTGGCTGAAACCTTCCAGAGATAGCAGCAGGGGTCACAGGACCAGCAGTTGGAGCCTCAGGGCCTCCTGACCCCGGGCTCAGTTTTGCTCCAAAACCCGAGCCATCACCTAGAAACACCACAGGGTCAGGGTCCCCCCCACAGCTCTCCAGGGGGTTCCGCGGGGGACGTACTGCAGAGGCAGGGCAGGGGTGATTGGCCGGCAGCCCCAGCGACAACCATGCTGTGATTCTGCTCACGGAGAAAACACTGATGGGCCCCAAAAATACTTTCATAAAAACATAACCCCGGTCAGAATGACGCACGTCAAGTAAGAAAACGCAACTTCACAGGTTGAGTACATCACCTGAGTCCCCCATTCCGCGCCAGCCTTAGGGGACCTCCACTCACTTCTCCAGACGTGGCCCCCAAAGACTCCACAAAACCCAGATGTCTTAGGCAAGCCCTTAAGAGCAGTGGGACGTGCGCGGCCTGCACCCTCCACGCCAGCCACAGAGCAAAGGCAGGCAGCGGATGGGGCATCCCCAGCACGGAGCAAAGGCAGGCAGCAGACGGGCATCTGATGACTGCTCAGGAAACACTGACTGTGCCTGCAGTGGGGTCCCTGCAGTGCAGCTCCCCTCTGCAGTGCAGCTCCTGTGTCAGGAGGGCACGGGGTCTTAAGGAGGAAAATTCAAAACCTCCCAATGCACAGGGCCTGGTCCATCCCAGAGACCTGCAGCTGCGCCAGCCCACAGGGAGGGGGATGCTTTGGAAACAGAGGCAGGATCGTGTCAGTGACACGAGGCCCAGATGAGGAGGAGGCACCCTGGGAAAAGGGTGTTGGACCTTCCCAGCAAGAGGATGAGGATGCCAGCGAGACTGGGCTCCTGTGTGGACAAAGCTCCCCAGGGAGCGGAGGCTGCAGCACTTGGCACCTGGGGATGCCCCAGCACAGCCTGGTGAGCACAGAGCACACTGGGCAGGAGCAGAGGCCAGCGACGCAGGCAGAGGACGACCTCAGAGGATGATGATGACCCCCTCAGAGAAATAACGGGCACCTCATTCACAAAACGAACGAACAAAGTGCTTTTTGTGAGTGGCGGCAAGTGCCAAGAGAGCAGCACGAAGGCCTCAGGTGCGGTGCGAGGGTTGAGGGTGCTGGGTCGCTGCCTGTACCCCCCAAAATGCCTCAGGCCACCCCCTACCACCTACAAATCTTTGTGCCTAATCATGTTGCCAAGTCCTACTTCTGCCCTGTGTATCTCAAATAAAGACGACGACAAAGAAATCTTTGGGGAAATCATCTACTGCAGGCAGGTGTTTGAGAAATCCCAGAGGGTGAAGGACGCTGGCATTTCCCTGAGCCACGGCTCCTGTAGCGGCACCCACAGCGTGTACCAGGAACTCTGGGATGTGACTGCTGCAGACGCTGTTACCCAGTGCCACTGAGACATGGGTGCCCAGCACCGCGCCCGGCCCACTCCATCCAGAGGAGACCACAGCCAGCAGGTGCCACCAGCCGGTGGTCAGAGCTCCACGAGTCCAAGACCACGTTCCCCGTTGTCCCACCGGACCCTGTGCCTTCAGCAAAAACCATGCTTCACCTCAAGGCCCAACACCTTCCTCCAGGTGCAGGGACTTCTCACCTGGCTGTGCCAAAAATAAACTCAAGAACGTCCCCAAAAAAGAAAGAAACCAAGGAGCTGAAGCTAAAGGAGAGAGGAACAGTTAGGATAAGAGAGTTCTGAGAAATTTAAAATACGAGCGCAGAAACAGAACACTGAGCACAAACGTTGAAAAATAAAGTTCTAAAGAAAACCTCTTAGAAACGAGAACAAAAATAAAAGGAGTAGAAATAGGGAAAGAAGATTTGACAATCAATTCTGGAGGCCCGATATAGTTGAGTAACAGGATTTACAGAAAGAAGAGAGAAAACCAAAGGAGATGTGATCGAAGGAAGGACGAACGAGGAAGAAATCCACCACCCTGACCGCACAGGCCCCTCCAAGGTCGTGCATCACTGGAGGGCGCAGGCACGCAGGCGGTGGACAGGCACGCGGTACCTGAAGAAACATGACTTCCAACCCAAGAGCCAACTGACCGACAACCGCCAAGGAGAAGAGGAAGTTCTCACAAACAAGCACCTGCCAGACACCTTTTCTACAGAGGCCTCTGGGGACATGTTTCATTAAAAAATATGGGGCCTGCTGGGCTCAGTGGCTCATGCCTGTAATCCCAGCACTTTGGGAGGCTGAGGCGGGAGGATGACTTGAGCATGGAAGGTGGAGGCTGCAGTGAGCCAAGACTACGCCGCTACACTCCAGCCTGTGTGACAGAGCAAGAACCTGTCTTGAAAAATAAAATAAGGAACCATCGAAGGGGAACAAGGGGTCACCTGGGAGCCCCTGAGAGTTGGTGGGGAAGCACCTGCTGTGCTCGGAAGGCTCGGATGACACTCACCCGGACACCGTGTGCGAGGACCAGCAATGAAGAACACAGAAGAAACCAAGCCAAGAAAAACAAAAGTGGCTCGAGGGGGACACGTGCTCCCAGCGGCTCTGCTGGAACACGGGGCGCGTCCTTGAAGGGCAAACCTCGGCTGTGACAGCACAGGGCGTGCAGACTGGACCTCGTGTGGCAAGGGGCGCATGGCGAGCGGCTTTGCTGCTAGGAGGGCTGAAGATGCTACTTTAAACAGCAAACAGGTTTTGAAAATAAAGCAAATACAAGACGACATTTCTGGGAGTTGAACATGGGCATCCCCAGGGAGTTGCAGTCCTGAGTGGGGAGCTGGGACAGAGGCTGCTCAGGGAATGGTCCTCTCAGCACCCATAATTGTTACCCTGCGTGCTCACTACTCATCAAATAAATAAAAACAAAATAAAAAAGCTGCTGGCCCTACTCTGCAAATACTAAAATTTCCAATTAAATTGTGACTATGTTCTCAAAAATTACTAAATCACTGGAAAATTCAACAGATTTTTTAAAAAGAGCATCTCAAAAGGTGACTGACTTGTGAAAAGACAACAATTGTAGGAAAAGTTATGAAATTAAAAAAATTACGGTGTGGCAGGTAACTGCCACCACAACTGATCCAGCCAGGGCAACCAAGGGAGGAGGCTGAGACCAGTGGGCGTGAGCATGAGAGGGAAGAGAATACTCAGTCTCCACATCTCCCACAGGAGGAGGAGGAAGAAACCTGGCAGGCACCACCACAGACAAAGGCCCAAGTCAAGCCCACGCACCTCCCGCCGTGAGGCCCAGGGAGACGCAGCCCCCTACACGCCATCGTGAGGACACACCACGCAGTCAGCAGCCCCTTGGCTCCTCTCCAGGGCCGACGCCCCGAAACCCACGGCACAGAGAGGGATGACCACCCCAAGGGGAGGGAAGGGCAGGGTGGGCAGGCAAGGCAGCAGAGCCTGGAAACATGGGGCGCGCCGCCCCAGTCTCCATCCCGCCAAAGACACCTGAACATAGCCTGTGAGCTGGGGTGTCTTTTCCATCAAGGACGCTACTGGGACAGTCGGCGAAATCTGAGCAAGGTCTGCAGCTGTAGCTGAGACGCCAGCCTTGGATCAGGACGAACGTTCCAGGGTGGAGTGTGACCTGGGCTGGCAACCTTGGCTGTGTGAAAGGTACAGGTGTGTTTTCAGAGTCAAGAGGCCCCAGGTGCACGCCTGACAAAGCGCAAAGCCGGGGTGGAGGTCAGTGAGGGGCAGACGCAGAACCGGGTGAAGGATGCAGGAATTCTTTGACTATTTTCTCATAGGAAACCACTGAAACAAAAAATGAAAAAAGAAAGATAACCAACTCACTTTTCTCACTTCCATCAGTTTTCCCTTCTAATCCAGGAGGAGGTGAACTTAATGTTTCTTGAGAATCAAGAGACGTTGTGATAAAATCTTCGACATCTTTCTCCTGTTCAGATACAGAGATTTTTAAATGGTCATAAATATTGAGTAATTACATCATAGAGCTGACTCTGCCAGGTGAAAACTTCCAAAGGCCTGAATTTATCTTCCCACATAGACCCCAAATGAAACAACTCAAAACTGGTGAACATATGCAGGTGTTCCAACAATTTAATCAGATTCCAACAATTTATTTTTTTTAAAAAAGCATTGTTTATTCCAACAATGCTTCCAACAATTTCATCAGATTCACGCACAGCTCTTTAGGAATATTTTAATGTAGCCAACAGCAAATATTTCAGATTTCAATTGTTTTACATGAAATGATAGTATATGGATTTTTCAGAGAATATGTATCTGCTAAATTACTATTTTTTGAGGGAGGATCTTACTCTGTCACCCAGGCTGGAGTGTAGTGGTTCCATCTCGGCTCACTGCATCCTCAACCTCCCAAGGTCAAGTGATCCTCCTGCCTCAACCTCCTGAGGAGTTGGGACCATAGGCAGCACGATCGCGCCCAGCTGACTGTGTGTGTTTTGTAGAGATGGGGTCTCACCGTGTTACCCAGCCTGGTCTCAAATTCCTGGGCTCAAGCAATCCTCCCGCCTCAGCCTCCCAAAGTGCTGGGACTACAAGTGTCAGCCCAACCGTATCTGATTTTTAATTTTATGTTACTCAAGATACACAAAATCCCAAAATGATTATGTTAGAAATAATATGATCTAACTCATAAATTATTAAAATTAATTAGTATATGTGAAACCTGTAAAAATATGAAGCATTTCCAGCTGGGCATGGTGGCTCAAGCCTGTAAGCACTTTGGGAGGCCGAGGCAGGTGGATCATGAGGTCAGGAGTTTGAGACCAGCCTGGCCAACACCGTGAAACCCCGTCTCTAACTAAGACTATAAAAATTAGCCGGGTGTGGTGGCGGCGCCTGTAGTCCCAGCTACTCGGGAGGCTGAGGCAGGAGAATTGCTTGAACCTGGGGAGGCGGAGGTTGTAGTGAGCCGAGATCGTGCCACTGCACTCCAGCCTGGGTGACAGAGCAAGACTCCGTCTCACAAAAAAAATAAAATAAAAAAAAAATAAGCAGCATTCCTAAAAATAAATCTAAAAAACCATTCTGGAAAAAGAACCCTATGCCCATCACACACGAAGACGTGTCTGCGGCTGTGCCTGTTGGTGTCCGTGTCAGTGGAGAAGCATGCCCAGGGTACGTCTGAGGCGGGCAAATGCATCTCAGGCATTTTAAAAATACCTGAACAACTGAAATAATCTAAACGCTCCCATGATGCCAGCCCTGCAGAGCTGGCAACACACAGGACTGCGAGGTGTGTGCTGTCAGAAGGTGAACAAACAATGGCAGCTGCCGTGGCGCCGGGCAGGCCACATTCCCACGGGAACAGCAGGTCTAGGAGCAGGGCAGGCACCTACCACAGCCGTCCTCTGCACACGGTGGTCATCAGCTGGCGGAGACTCAGCCCACTGCAGGGCCAGCGCTGCTGCGGACACACCTGGGGAACAAAGCAGGCCCGGCCCCTGGGGCTGTGGTAGTGAGGTGTCCGCCCTGTCCCGCAGGGATGTGTCGGCACTGCACAGGCTCAGGGCTCCTGAATGGGGTGTCACAGGGAGGCTGGGCCGGGGCTCCAGGGTCCAGTCTTTCCTGAGGACCTCAGGGGAGCTCCAGGAAGACAGGTCCAGCATCCCGACCGGGCTCTTCCGGGGCCCAGCCTCCGCAGCGTGGCTCTGGTGGCAGGAGCCGCCAAGCATGCTGGTTGGTGAAGAAAGGGACCTGTCCTGACATTCTGACTTTTCTTGAATGGGAGAATCTGGCATTTCATCTGGTATCAAGGAATCCCGATTTTTGATAACATCAGTTACACCCCCCGTGGCTGCACTGGCATCACACGCATCTATGGGGGCTGATGTGTCAGGCTCTTCGCCGTCACAGGAACCATCACTCCAGCTGCTCTCCAACAGGTGTGCCGAGGCCAAGGGCCATGGAGATTTGGCATCGGCAGCATCCACATTCTGGAAGGTCATGGAATACAGCAAACGGTTCAATTTTTCCTGAAGTTGTTTCACCTGAGCTATCAGATCGACCTTCTGCAGCTGACAATCTTCCAGTACTTTTTCCTTACCCTGCAGGTAAAAGAGAACAGGCACACGGTGGAATGCCCGGCTTACCAGGAGTCGCGCCTGTCTGTCTGGTGTTGATGGCGGATTTCAGGGAGTTTCGGAGCACTCGGGTGATTCCACAATGAGCCCTGCACATTTCAAGTTTATTTAATTCTCTGAGAAACAGAACCAAGACTTACATCTCTTTGCTTAAAAGGCAACTGTCATAACCTATTTCTGCAGTGACTGAGGACACCAGTTTCACACAAGGGAAAAAGGATGGGAAGGTTCTATATCTGAGCACCAAAAACACAAAATTGCGGTTTATGTGATGAATCTGGAGTTTCTTTGTGTGTAACTTCTAAGAATCTGGCAATCAGCTCAGGCAGGGCTGAGCTTTCTCTTAAGAATTTAAAAAAATGAGCCAGGTGCGGTGGCTCATGCCTGTAATCCCAGCACTTTGGGAGACTGAGGTGGGTGGATCACGAGGTCAGGAGTTCAAGACCAGCCTGGCCAAGATGGTGAAACCCAATCTCTACTAAACACACAAAAATTAGCCGGGCATGGTGGCGGGTGCCTGTAATCCCAGCTACTCGGGAAGCTGAGGCGGAGAATTGCTTGAACCCAGGAGGTGGAGGTTGCAGTGAGCCAAGATCTCGCCACTGCACTCTAGCCTGGGCAAAAAAAAAAAATTCAAAGAAACGTTCCTGTCGTGAGGGCCTCAAGACCGTTTGCTGCAGGAGACGTGGAGGGCTCCCCACCAGAATGTATTTCCTGAGAGCACGTGACAAGCACATGAACCAGGTTCACGGGTCTCCTCAGAACTGCGGGCCTAGGCCCGTCCTTCCCTGATTTCTACGGAATTCAGACTCTTTCAGGCTCTAAATGCCAATGAGGTGCACGCAGTGTGGGCCCAGGAACAGGCGGCACCTGCACTCATGCAAGACACGTCCCAGCGACGTCCCAGGGACAATCCCGAGGGCTGCAAGGGGCTCGGGTGAGCCCACATCTCAGCAGGCTTCAGCACCAAGCATGCTTCGGTGCCACACTTGAGACCATAAAATACCCACCCAGCACTTCTGGTGTTAGAGCCTCTGGGTTTCAGAGCCTGGAGGAGTAGTTGGGGCACATTTAGCCAACATCAGGGAGGAGGGGGAAGAGGAGGAGGAGGGTGGGCGGCTGTGTGTTCAGGAGGAGCAGGAGGAGGAGGAGGAGGGTGGGCGACTGTGTGTTCAGGAGGAGGAGGGTGGGTGGCTCTGTGTCCAGGAGGAGGAGG